GCTACGCGCGAGGATCAACGAGCTCGCGGACATGAAGTCAAACTGGAGAGTATGACCACAAACCTGGAACAGCTACTAAGACTTCAACAGGACTTTCAGTCGCGAGTTGAAGAAAGCGAAGAACGCAATTACGAGTTGGCAACGAAGTTCGATGGCGAAGGTACTGCTCCAAGTGCTCATGACGTGATGACATTCGAGGTTCTGCTGGAGATGATCATCAACGGACTGAAGCTCTAGTGTAACAGGTCAGGAGAAAGGTATAACAGGCTGTATTATGTCATCAACAATTTTGAGTCGTACTTTCTATTTGAGCTCGTCTTCTAGCTTTTGCTGAATCTTCTTGGCCTTAAGTCCATCGGAGCTGTTCAAGATATTATCTTTACTAAGGTTCACGATAACCCACAGCATCCTCAACCGCATTACTTAACAAATACAAATAGCAAACCGCGTACTTGTTGTAAAGATCCGTCTTTTCAGAGCTCCACACACGAAACTTCAGGTTGTACTTCGCCTTGTACTTCTTAAATTCACGCTCAAACACACTCCACGACTCCAGTGGACCAGACGAAAATGACGGCACAGTATTTTCAATCTTGGCATGTTCGCCGACCAGTGGCTACACCTCTTCTAGGTGCGCACTCACACGCATCCGTGGATAGTATTCACCAACGTTTTCATCATTCCCCCTATCCTCTCTGTTGGATGGTTCGCTCAGCGTTTCCAGCTTCCGTTGCTTTGGTAATGGTCCATCATCTTTTAAGACAGACATGCGAGCTGTTATCAAACAGCAACCTTATTTTCAGTAGCATTAGCGAAATGTGCGTACGGTGTGTGTTGGTCGCGCGTTTCTGGCATCCAGTCTTCTGCATCCCCGCTTGCTTCTAATGCCGTTTTGAAAATGAGCGACTCGAGTCGCTCGTACTTAACACCTTGGTTCCGAACGTCGTAACTTGCGACATAGCCATAAAACTATGTCGTAAGTTGCGACATATTGCTTTATTAATTAGCAAATGGCTCGGAAGGGATTCACCAATACTTTAATCAAGTATTTTGGAAGATATAAGCTGCGAGCGGTCTTTCAGAAACGAAACAAAACCAAGGCAGGGGAGGGGGAGGGGCCAGATGGAAGGTGGGTACTTGTCCACTCATTCGAGAATTTGCTGGATTGCGTACAAGCGATCCAGTCGCCGGGACAAACCCGCCGCTCCGGCTTCGGCCGCACACGACGTAGACTTCGGGCACCTATGGCGGCAACTCAAGGCAGCCGGGTGGGTGTCCAAGCGGCCGACAGGACTACAGACGCAGTGGGCGTATACATCTCCTGGGGAATCTCGTGTGTTTGTAGGCGAGAGTGAGGTCGTAGAGTACGCCTTCCAGTCAGGTTTGCTGGTTGAGTACACTACGGAGGAGGATGTTGAGGGCATCGGTGAGCCTGGACACGCCCAGGAGGACGCCGGAAGTGATGGGCAGTTTCAGAGTGCAGAAGGTGTCGATGGCGACGACATAACGCCCTCCCAAATCGACACCAGTGTTCAGCTGTCGCAGAATACTATCAAGCAGATGTTCGGTCCCTCCGACGAGCCCGAGGTGATTCTTTCGCAGAGCGCTGTAGCGAGAGCGTTCAATCTCTCACCGAGCGATCTTCTGGCCGACGAGGAGCAGCAAGATGCCGCGGCTGGGCTGCACTTGCTGTCCGATGCGTCAGGATTGGAGAGTGAGGGGGACGACGATCGTGCTCTACGCCTATCTGTACCCACCGAGCGCCCACGACGAGTTCGAGTTCCGCAGTGTCCAAACGACGACGTCAACGTATTGCAAGACGGGGAGAACAGCAGTGAGTATGGAGATTACAGTTCAGACGAGAGCGATGGTGTCGGTGTCTGCGAACGCGATTCTGATTGTGACGATATTGACGAAGAGGTTGACCTACTCTCGGATGGTGATGCGGTCGAAATGGATGAAGTTTTTCTGGCATCTCTGCAGGTTGGAAGCAGTACATTGAGGGGGCAGATGAACAGACGCGCAAAGAAGCACTACGATCAATGGAGTGGGCTTCGGTTTCGAGTGAATATGAGTCGGATGCAACTGCTTACACTGGATTGGGCCAGGAGGAGGCTCAACCTGTTGGTTATCTACTGGACGTTTGGCGATCGCCAATCCTCACCCTCTTCTGCTTCATGCCGAAGTCCTTGTGGGTCATGATCACTACGGAGACGAACCGCTACTACACTCAGCAAGTCGGCAAGCGTGCGGAAAGGATTTTTGCACGGCAAATGGGCGCCGCCGTGAGACTGTAGCACAAATTACTCGGCGATTGAAGGCGGTGCAGGCATACGGTGTTCGTGAGATTCTTCATGTCGTTGGCCTTCTCGTTGCCCGGATGCTTTGCCCGCAGAAAAGGCGATTCACAGCGCACTGGTCCATGGTGGAGGACGGAGTAATTCCTGCTGGAATATTTGGGAGGTACTTGACCCGAGATCGGTGTCAGGATATCCTACGAGATCTTCACTTCGTAGATAATACCGTCGACCACGGTCGCGACAAGCTGTGGAAGGTGCGACCCGTAGTTGACAAGATCCAAAAGCGGTTCTTGGCTGGCTGGTCTCTCCCAGCGACGTTCTCGTTTGATGAAGGGGCCTGCCTGCCACGTCGAGGCGCAATACCACCCGTATGTTTATGTCTGACAAGTCCCACAGGTCCTGCTCAAAACTTTTTATGCTGTGTGACGCTAAGACCGCGTACTGTCACAGGTATTTTTTTTCTCTTTATTCAATGTCGTAACTTACATGGTGTTTCAGATCCTAACTGCTATGTATGTCGTAACTTCCTAGGTTTGAAGTTTACGTAGGCAAGCGGAATAACACGGACGGATGTGAAACTGGAGTTGACTTTAAAACTGGAGCAGCAGCCGTCGCGCTGAACTTGAAATTTGTCCTCACTCCAGAGCGGCGCCACCCGTGGCATGTTGTCGTCATTGACCGGTATTACTCGTCAGTGATACTTGCTGTTGAGCTACTAAAGATGCAAATCTATGTGGTTGGGACTATTCAGACGAACCGTCTGGTCTTCAACAAGAAGATCCTGTCAAAAAGCAAGACACGCCCTGCAACCATCCCCCGCAGCTCCTTCGTGTATTCGCGTTCGGTCGCCGTTTCCAGTATGGTATCGTACCTCTGGTGGGATCGCAAACCAGTATACTATCTGTGTACTGGCTCCGTTTTGACGCCATCCACAATTGAGAGGAAGGTCAAGCGAATTGGCGCGATTCAGGTCGGGTGCCCTTCGGCGGTGAACGACTACCAGATTGGATGGGCGGAGTCGATCGCCACGATCAGCTCCGCTTTCAGTCATACTCGCTTCAGATGTCGACGCGGTTTTCTAAGTATTACGAAAGCTTTTTTTTGGCTTTCTAGATCTCGCGCTGGTAAACGCGTACCTCTCTCACAAAGAGGCGACCAAGGTGAAGCAAACGGTAGCTATGAGGCGTTCTGAGTGGTTTTCGGTCCTTCAAAACCTGCTTCTACAGCTGAAGGCCGTTGATTTTGCGGGGATAGAGGCGACACCACCTCCGTCAAGCCAGAAGCGAAGGCGCGCACCGGTCCGTCTTACCCATGGCGTTCAGCAGTCTGAAGATTGGGTCACCGTTAGCGGCGTCCAAAAACGCCGTCAGCGATGTTGTAAGGTCTGCGCGCTCTTGCGTACAGACAAGAGGAAGTCGTTTGCGACGTCTTACTAGTGCGTGCGCTGCTCTATCGACAGTGCCAAGTGCTGGTTATGCAACAGGATTCGCCGAGACTACAAGGGTGTTGCCAAAACCTGTTTTGAGATCTGGTACGACGACGTTCAGGCCGGCCAAGCGATTCCCATCAACTTAAGGAAGCGAGTTGTGCTGCGTCGACCGGGCCAAAGTGCTGGAAAGCGCAAGAAAACGAGGCGGGAACTCCAGCTTCGCCGTGGCCAAGGCGGCGACAGCGGAAGCAGTGGCGACGATGATAATGATGGCAACGATGGGTAGTTTAGGCTGCGTATCAAGTGATGAGTGGTTAGTTTCGTCTGGTTGAGTGCAACGTTTCTTGAGTTGATGTACCTTCTCCCTTGTGTTTTCTGAAATGAAAGTTCTGACATTGCACCATCTAAGCCATCTGTTGAATTGATTAGTAGATAGTTACGACATTACTTGGCCTCTGCTGCCTCTCAATGCCGTATGAGTTACGACATTGACTCGGAAACCTGTTGAAAGTTTATATGCCAATCTCCATAGCAAACACATGGCCAATACAAACACCAAGATCCTATGAATGGCGTATCTTACGACATACGCTTACACGCTTGTGGCGAGTACCGTTCGGAGCCAATGTTTTAACGAGTACGTTTCGAAAGATATTTAAATTACGCCTGGTAATTTTTAATCACGCTTAAAGCAACTATAGCGACCCAACATGTCTCATATTTACGGTTGTCGTAACGACTCCGGCCAATAAATGACGTGACGGCATCGTAAAAACTCCGTTCTAATGAATGTACAAGAACACCGGTAAATCTAATTACAGCACCCAGCAATCGTTCATGAATTCAATCTACTCGTCAATGTCAATTTATGAAAACAAACCTTTGTATCAACATGCTTCACACGACTCGAATCAACCCGCACATTGTAGTGGGTCTTCCTATTGTTGGCAACCCGGATTGTTTTTTCCACCAGCCCACACGCGTGTTAATTTGGTGTTACGATCCCGAAAAAATCAATTCAATTTTAAAACTTACTACTGTAGCAGCCCCCCCCCTAATAGCGTGTGACGTCAGAGTCACTAATGTATTTCAGCTCCTACTGTAGCGGTACACGTGCAGTACCACTACAAAAAGGTGTTGTTACAGTATTAGTGTAACGTTAGGTTCAATTTGCCAAAAACATAACAGTCCTTGGCAACTCATTCATAGGTGCGGAATTACATTTCACGCAGACACATCCATGTTCCGCAAACCACTCAAAACTTCCTCCTCTAAGCGTGACGTCCGCGAACAGCGCACTTGTCGCTCGATGGACCAACAGGGGTATCGGTAGTCTCAGCAGACAAGTCAGACCCAGAAGGCGTCTCCTGAGTCGAAGTGTCAGCCGAAGCCTCCGTGTCCAAGCCGGAGTTCGAGTCAGCAGTCGACTCTTCAGCGGTATCCGAGGAAGCGTCAACTGCCGAGGGTGTAGCAGTAGTCGCCGTAGGAGCCTCCGTGGCTTCGGTCTCCTCGTTCGAGCTGTCGTCAGTAGCATAACTGGCATCACCGGCAACGCTGGAAGCCGTTTTGGACGTCGACTTTTTCGACGTAGATCCGCCTAGAGAAGCGAACTTAGCGGCAGCAGTGGCAATGACCGTGGAGAACAGTTCGTCTTTGTCAAAGATCGCGTAGCCGTCGTCATGCGTGTTGAGCGACTTGACCCCGAACTGCCAGTACTGCATGTTGGACTTGGACTTGTACACTTCATCGCTCCAAGCCAAGTAAGAGGCCGAGTCAAGAGGCTTAATTCCGTACTCCTCAAGCACCACAGGCTTGCCAGCCTTCGTGCCCGAAGCCACGTGATCTTTTATCCACTTGACACCCCACGTTTTCGCCTCAGCGGTGGCCACACCCCATGAGTCTGGGTACGCGTGGTACGCACCGTAATCGATACTTTTAATGGCCAAGTTGGCGTCAAAGTCGACACCCGACGGGCCAGAGTACAGATAGACGCTCTTATCCGTGTTCATGAATCCCTCGCTGCCTGACGCCACGAGATGGTTCGAGTCAAGCGATTTAATGTACTGCACCGGAAACGATAAAGGTTAAAGATCGGTAAGATACCGATAAATCACGTAGACTTACCGCAGACATCTCGGTCATCCAGTCGGTAAGTGTCTTAGCATTACAGTTCCCGGACTCCTTTAGAGCTCCGGATCCAGCGCAACGACACTCGTTACACAACTGCCAAGCCATGATGGTCTCTTCGTCAGCATAGCGCGTCACAAACACCTTGACGAAGTTCTTGTATGCAGTCTTGATCTTCTCGTCCGTGTAGAAGTCGTCGTGGTATTTACCTCCGAGTTGCTGGACGTACACATCTGATAACAGCACGCTCATTTCAGTTAGTAACTAAGGTTTTTATCGAACTAAGTTATAATACAGGTACTGAACGCACCAATGCCGCCGTAGTCGGACCAATTGTTCACGAACGGCACGACCAGCTTGACACCGGCAGTCTTGGCCGCTGCGACCACCTGGTCGAAGTAACCGAGACCGTTGTCGCCAGTGTTAACCGTGGGTTTGCCGTTCTCCCATAGCTGGTACACGACGTTGTACGGCGCCGTGCCGGTCTGGTTCAGGTCGGCAAAGCCCCAGGTTCGGCACACAGTCAGGTCGCTCTTGGCCATGGTGTTGAATATCGTGGATAAATCCGTCTTACTCTGCAGCAGCGAGCCAATAGAACAGACAGTGAGTCAACGCCGGCCGAGATGGCGGTAGAGAGCAACACCACTTACCCACGTGATCTCTGAGGCCCAGTAGGCGTTGGTTCCGAACACGTAGAATGGTTGGCCATCCAGCTCAAAGTTGGTGCCCGACGTTGTCACGTAACCCGCAGTGGCGGAGTGGGCGGACAGTGAGGCAAATAGCGCAGCAGCAGTGGCGAAAACCTTCATGTTTGACACGGTTCCAGTAGCTCGAAAGTCTGCAAGTGGCTCACAAGATGGCACGCGAAGCTGTGAGACGAATCGTCTCACATCGTCTCAGACGATTGACAGCAGCATGTAGTCTACATTGTAGAGGCTGATCTCCGATCTGGTCTTGCTGTGAAAACAGCAGGCGTCCAACCTGCCATTTTCGATGATACGCTTTGAAGCAGTGTATCGCAATGTATCCCTGTTGTTTGATCACTAGCCGAGCGCCGCCGCTACGCGGCGGTAATTTCGGTTTTACTCCAGATTTTTGCCTTCCCGCCTTCGCTTCGCTTCGGCGGGATAATTAGTCCAAATCCTCTGAGTCCCAAATGTACGAAAATCGACTTCTTTAATTTCATAAATCTGCGTTTCATTTGCTACAAAATGCTGAGTTCCCAGTAAGCCGTGTAAATATTTCTACCGGTACAAAAGACTGAGCCCCTAGCATCATACTTACCATGCTCATAAACGATTACGCTAGTGATCTTGGCAAAGTCTCTTTATTGTTGTTGGCTATCACTGTACCTTAGTCTTCCACCTGCACTTCAGTCTAAAACCGCTAAATAATATATTTAGTTTAGCGTCGTGCTCGATTTCACGGGCCGTTTCTGAATCCTAGATTGCATCAATGCAAAGAATATCTGTCCAGCTTGCATCAAATACCCGCTTGTACTGCCTGGTTAAGCTTGTAATAAACTGACTATTAACCACTTCGCAAACCAAACTCGCTACTTTGAAAGAAAATTAAAAGTGTTACAGTTTGAATATTTAATAAAAATATTCGAGCTGTAGCATTTTTTATGCCTTGAAGTGTGTTCATTTTGTGCTGATTCAGAATTAGCCATTAGACACTCCAATCTGTGCCTGTTATGATTATAGCCTTTGGATATAACGATGCGTCGCAAGACGCCTTGCTGTTGTTGTTGTTGACGGCGGTATTTTTATTTGATACTTAATTGATGATTCCAGGATGTATTAGGCTCTAAGTTGATTAACGTTTCTTTACGGGCCCACTTATAATAACCATAATAGACACCTCTCATGTTGTGCTGTTATCTTACCCCTGCATATAAAACCTTATTTTACGCCCTTGTCGGCAACGCGTCTACCTATTAAGAAGTATCAGAATTTTGTCGTCTAAAAAAACGCTTATCTAACAATGGTCAAGTTCAATTCGCTTACAGTAGTAATTGTCATCAGCACATATAACTTCTTTTTGTTCACACGTCAATCCAACACTATATATCTTTGTGGATCAAGTGACAACGTTTATTAGCACAGTTTTGTTCTTACGGCCAGTCTACACGACCGGCTACTGCTGTACATGTAGCATGTACGATTTAGCAATACCAGAAACCCACTCAGATAACTTATTAATGCTAATATTTTTGCAGTAAGAAAAATGAAATTTCATTTTAGTCAGTGTAACACACAGATCCTACTGAGTACAGAGTATTTAGTATACTTAAACCATGTCCTCGGAAACACGCATGCTTACGTGTACGCTAAGCACCCTACCCTCCGTTTACTGTAGTATTCAAATATCAATAACAACATGCATTATGAAAAAGTATTTAATATTTAAACGATGCCGCCTTCGGACTTTGTGCAAATCCCCATATGTAAACTGGGAAACACATGCATTTATTAATGTCAACTACACATTCTAGTTTTAACCAATTGAAGCCACCTTCGCTGCGCTCGTCAGCCCAGTAGGAATATTTTAATTATTTAATCCAATGATTTGTCCGGAAAAGCGTGACAGGCACGACAATTTAGTGTGACGGACAGACAGGTTGCTGCAGTAGATGTTTAAGACTAGCCGTTCGCCGCCGCTACGCGGCGGAGTGGCATGGTTTGTTGGAGATAAGGTGGCCGCAATTTTAAGTACTTCGTGTGTTGTGTGCTTTCAGTCTGATCTTGTACCCCGAGGCTTCGGCCATCCCCGTGCGATGTTGTGTCGTGCACTTAAAACACCTGTCATTTCGTAGTCTCATGTGGCAGTGTACGGTATCGTTAATTCGTACGCGTCCGTTGCTCCGTACTACTGGTTGGCGTCTATGTTCCTCCGTGGATATTGCCCTTTTCCGTTAATGCGCTCTCTCTTTTGGGCTCATGCTTTTCAGTAGTACGACACCCTTTCGTGGCTGCTAGTTATTCCGTGTTCCCAAGGTCTTGAGTGAGTTTTACAGGTTTAGTGGTCCATATTCATTCATGGTCCATGGCGTCTCATCGACGGTACCCTCGCCGACGGGTGCTATTCCGTAGTTATATGGATCCGTCCCCCGTGTAACGTGCTCTCCTGGTGTGACTTCATCGACCGCGTTATCGCGCTATCATGCGAGCGCAGTATAATTCTGCTATCCTATGCTTTCGTGCTCGCGTAGTGCATCTGTGTTTCCCGTGTTATTATATTCAACAATGGCATACTGATCCACGTTGTGCAATCGTGATATCCAAAAGCGCTCCCCATTGCTTCCGTGGCTGATCTGCCGCCCGTGCAATCGTGGAATCGCCTTTTGTGGCTCCGCGATTTGCCGTCTATAACTCCCGTTGCTGCGTGTTATCTCACGGTTTAGTGGCTGGACCACCGTCCGTGCAATCGTATTATCTCGCGGTATCGTGGTTGGTCTGTCGTCCGAGCTATTGTGAGCTACCGTAACACTGTGCTCCGTGGCTTGGCTCTACCCTGGTATCGTGCTCCAATGCTCGGTGATTTCCCGCTTATGCTCTCCTGTGGCTTTGTGTTAGGTTCATCGTCTGTGCTTCATGTTCTACCGTGGTGTTATGGAAGAATTGCTTTCCGTGCACCTTACCGCTTCCGTGGCCCGTGTTTTTCAGCATGTTGGGGTGTCATTACTTCAGTTACTTTCCGTGATCCATACGCTCCCATCATATTCTTGCCATTCCAAGTTTTCATGGTAGCGTGCTCGTCCGTGGTTCGTGCTTTTCAGAATGGCTAGCTGCCTTCATTAATTTAGTCCTTTTTCAACGTCCGTGGCCTTCTGTGCTTCGTGTTCTTCCCTCTACCCCATCGTGTACATAGTGTGCGCCGGTGTTCCTCTGTGTTTCGTGTTCTTGTTTATCCACTTGCCTCCGCGCTACTTCAATCGCAAACGCTGTTTTTATTTTGTTTGATGTATGCTACATATCGTGGTGAAAAGTGCGCACAATCTCTTAAGGTCGTACACTACGCGCGCGAATACAAAGGAATACGATCCTTTTATATCGGCGGCGGAGTGGTGTACATGGTTATGTGGGGTGGGATGGTGGGAAGCCACTATATTCACATTTTGAATATTTAATATTAGTAATAAATTGTGCATCTTTATCTAACGCAAATATAATACCGGTACTTTGGTTTAAATTGATTCGTATTAGTAATAACATGCGTTTTTTTTCTTGCGCAACTAATTAATTTTTTGTAGTACTGCTATAAACGTCTGCAAGAAAAATATAAAATTCTCAAAACACAGTATTACTCAAAAGTTTTGTAAGTTTTATTAATTGAAAGTACTACGAAGCCTAAATATCATTATATATCCTATAAGTACTAAAGTTTCGATTGAGGCCGAAATATAAGTCACCAGGGCCTACAAAAATTTGCAGCGGCTCCTACGACGATATTGTACGTGTGTGCCCATCGGCGCTATTTAATTATGCTAACTAACGCGTACACAGGCAGCACCCTTCGCGTGGCCTTGCATACCGCAGCTGAAAATGAAAGCAAAATGAAATTTGAGTGGCGCATTTTAAGTACGATGTGTAGACCACATATAATGTGTAAGAAACACAATGTTGATTATAGCCAATGGGGGCCGCCTTCGCTACGCTCGACAGCTTTTTAGCGAATCGAGGCCGCCTTCGCTGCGCTCGGCAGCCAGTAGAACGCCCGCATTTGCGTTACATTAATTAACCCTAGCCGCGGACGGACGTACGGACGGACAGACAACACACTCCACTAGAGGGGTAAGATAATAGGGAGGTTTATCGCTTTAAATAAAACAAGATTGTGCAGGTAAGTCTCGATGATTTGCCCTAACATATTTCCGAGCACCAGATGGCAGAAGCAGGTTGACTCAACCGGCGGTTGGTCTCACCGTAGCCAGTTTGTTGAGCATTGACAAACGGAATTTATCATCGAGAGTCGAGCTGCTCGACTCTTGATGATAAATTCCGATTCGTCAATGTCCAGGCTCTGGTTTGGCTCGATGAGCTGGGAGAAGCTATGGAGCTCGAGTCGAGGTACCCAAATTTAGAAGTAGGGGTAATGTGGTGTACCCAAATGCATTTTGCGTTTTTGAGAAATATCGAGTTGTCATGTTGGACTTTGTTACCTGTGTAATTGAGCTGCCACAATCGTATTACAATATACCTATCAGCACAGCTACACGTTTTGCACGTCCGATATGGCAGTGTTTATTACAAGAAGTTCTCCATTGGCGAAGCTTCCCCACAGACATCACTGAATTCTACTAGTCACTACTTTTCTTCAAAGTCAGGTTTCATTACAGTCATTTAGAGTGTCCTTAAAATACTAGTCACTACTCCAAAACAGGATATTTCTTTATCCTTTTCTGGCTGCATGAATTCCTTTCATTTATTTAATGAGTTTGAGAGGTAGACAATTTTATAAATTGCAATACGCTTCGACTCGATGCTGTGGAAGCGTTGTATACCAGACCTGTGATCTTCGCTGAACTACAAGTAGCCATGAACCTTTAATAGTGCGCTAAGAATGAGCTTTCTAAATTTTCGGCGGAACGTTTTAAGATGTTCTGCACCGTGTGGGGACAAGCCTAGAGCAGCTTTCCATTTAGATTTTGTTTTTGCAATCCATATGATAAAAATGTTGGTCAGGATTATTCCTTTGTCAGCCTCAGGTAAGATAGTATTATCCCGTTCAACTACTAACCTCTGAAGAAGAATGGTCTGACCACTCCAATGACGCAAAGTGCTCGTCAACTACGTAGCAAATGTTGCATACCCTCATAGACTG